CTTCCTCTCTCTTCCTCTCTCTTCCTCTCTCTTCCTCTTCCGTGTTTCTCACCTGTGATCGGGGAGTGCGGGGGGGGGGGGGGGGGGAGTGTGACCTTCGCTAATAACGCCGACCATGCTTTCAGCTAAGATGACAAACATTCATTGATGGGACAGCTTTAGTAGTTTTCCTGTTGCCGTTGAAAATCGGTTGTTCGCATATTTTCTGTTTCCTTTTTCTTCGTTCGGCACGTTCTTCTTTGGACATTGGCTGCTTGGAAACCGGCCGATGGTGCCATACCGGCAGCCGATATCGGTGTCGGCCGATGCATCGGTACAGTTCAATACATTTTAAAATTTTTGTAAGTAGCACATAAATAAGTTTAAATGAAAAAGTTGAAGCACATCTGAATCTGGTAAAAACGAAAATAACTGTGCTATTTCGTGAAATTAAAAAGCATAATAGGGTAATATCCGGCCTGCGGAGCACGCTCATGCCAATTTCCAACTTAATATCTGAACCTTGGGCGTAAATGGGTTAAATAGCAAAAAAAAAGGTATTCCAGATGTCTGCTCGCGTTGCAACAAGGAATGATACCGCTCGGGACATTCAGGAAATGTGCGGCTGTCTTAACTTCAGAAAGACGCCGAAAATCCTCAAATTGTTGGACCAGTGCAGTCCGCTCCGATAATCGGAGGATTGTCCTCATCCAGCTTCTTAAGGAAGCCTGAGAACTCCTGGATCAATACGAAATAATAATGGAAATTGATCAATTCAGAGGGCGAGCTTGCGATTTGCATTTAGCGAGTTGGTGGTTACTTCGACATATTGCCGCAATCACTCAAAATTTTCCTGAAATGAAAAAAAAAAACCTTGTTGACGAGTTGCGTTACTTTCCATGGAAAAGCACCTGGACTAAAATTTTATTTGATGCAACAACATTGAATTTCTTAATTTTTTATTTTGCTGTGGAATTCAAAACTTTTAAAATAAACTATGAAGAGCAAAAAGGGAAAGAAAATATGCAAAGTTTCTCTCCCGTATTTAGACTAATCGGATCTCGGAAACGGAGTGACCCAGATAGACGGCTTACGCACAACTTGATGCCTAACTCAACCATGCGAATAACCCAAACTTAAAGAGTCCAAGAGATACCTTACATTTTGAGACGCAACGGGAGAAGGCGAAAAGGCTCGAGAAGGAATTTGCAGATATATTTGCAGACGCCCTAGAGATAGCCCGGACCCTGCATGACAATGCCTTCCTTGTGACTTTTTACTTCTGAGGTCAGTCTCAACTTACGAAGAAATCATGATTTGCATTCGATCTCTCCGATCGCCAGCCACCGACGAAGATTTCTGATTACGACGACACTATATAAAGGTGCATGCGATCTCCGATCGCTACTCCTCCTTACTGGGGGATGATTACCCTCATCCCCTCGGTCGCTCCGCGCAGTCGGCTAGTGGACCTCCTACCAGGGACTTCTGGTCGTGCCGGCCCGTCCTACGCCTGCTCTTCCCTTCTCTTCCTCCTCCGTATTTCCACAATCGAGACTCACCATAGAGGCAGATAGCAATAGGATCCCAACCCCATCCGAATGACTTGCGTTTATCCATTTTCAAGAATACTTTAACGTTGGACCCTTTTCTCTTTAACACTCTTTCAATTGTTACCGGCGCGTCTGATTCCTGCCGTGTGATACTATATCGCACAGTGCTTCAGATATCGTCTAAAGCTGGCAAAAGTCGAAAAATGAAGTTAGAGTAAATATGGAAGTTTCCTGTTTTATACAATTAGGGATGTCCAATTACCACTAAAACATATACATTTCCGAGTTCCCACCTTTCCAAGTGAAACAGTAATTACTTTAAGCTTTGGAAATGTGATCACGTATCTTTGCAGGACTCCTGGCAATCCTTTTTTTTTAAATATAAGTTGTCATCATGTGAGATTGAAAGTGACTCCGAACAAATGTTCAGGTAAGTGGCTAATTTTTTCATCAGCTTTTTTTTCATTCTGTGAGTTAGCTTTACTTTTAAATTACGTAATGGTAAAACTTAAATTTACTAAATCTTTTCGCTGATGGATGAACTTTTTCACCTGAAATTTTAGTGCCAAGAGATGACAAGGATTTGTCGTCGTTTTGAGTCGATGTGTTATATAACAAATGTTCCTCGAAAGGTATGATGAGAATGAGTAAAATATACATTTTGACGTTGCTATGATATTTTTCTGCAATATTGATATCAAATCACACCATATAATTCTCTACATGACCAAGCGTAGAGAAGGCATGAAGAAGGTTTGTTTGAAGGTTTGGATTGACGAAATTTTCATGAGGAAATTTCCCCGAAAATTTCGTAAAAATTTACTTTCTGCTCATTCTCATACCTTTGGAGAAACATTTATTATGTAATTCATTAACTACTGTTTGGAAAGGCCATGGAATCTCCTAAATTGAATTGACGAAATTTCCTACTGCCAGACCACTTCGCAAGCAGCAGTACACAATTAGCTAATTGGGCAGCATCGGGCAGCTTGAATTAATTACAATGGCATGCACATGTGAGAATTGTCTTAAGCCGACGAATCCTTGGCACTTATAGGCGTAAGAACTTCGGGTGAAAAGGTTTCTCCAACCGCGAGAATTACTTTATAAAAGTTAAGTTTTACCGTTGCAAAATTCATAAGTAAAGCTAATTCACATAAAAAAAACTAATCGAAAAATAAGTCGCTTACTTTAACTTTTTTTTGGAGTCACTTTCAATCTCGCATGATGAAGTGGACGATCTAAATTTTAAACAAACGATTGCAAGTAAACTGACTCCTGCGAGAATACGCCGATTTCCGTCATGAAGTTTCCCGAATGTTAAGCAGTCGCTGCTTCACTTGAAAAGGGGGGAACTCGGAAATTTTTTAATGGATTCGTGGTTTTGTGACATCCCTAAAAAATAATTTAAAAAGCAGGAAACTCTCATACACATTCTGCAACTTCATTATTCGAATTTCGGACAGCGTTTGGCGACTTCGGAGCCACCGCGAACCGCTGCGAACAAACGAAACCGTTGTGATAAACCAATGAAGGCGGTCACAGAGCTGACAAAAACGTTTTTTTGCCATTGATGGTCCGGGACGTACAATATTCTTATCGAAATCCTCCAAAATCAATCAGAAAATCAGAGAGCGTCAGACGAATCGATAAAAGAAGTTGATAAAATCACAGGCGTAGCCTAGATGGAAAAAGTGAGGAGGAGGGGCGCCAAGGGAACTGCGGAACACATTAATAATAATTTAACGCATTTTTTCCCTTCCCATATATATATATATATATATATATATATATATATATACAGAAATCATGAACACATTATTACAGGAGATTTGGATATTTTAAACAATAGAGATTGCCAGTCCATTAGGCCTCCTTAGCTATCCTTCGCTTTTTTAGTATTCTCTTCTCATTTTCTATCAATAGCTCGGACTCGTGCTGGCTATAGGTTTAGCTATATCGGCATGACTCTCTCAATAATATAATAAGCCTAGGTGTCTGTGGTTGTCGCCTATCGCTCCCAGCACCTGGGTTGTCCTGATTAAGTTATCTCGAAGGGATATTCTTTTCATATATATATACATATTTTTTTTTTAAGTACTCACCCCCGCTTTCCACAACGATACGCCGATGCAGACCTTCGCTGCTTATCTCGCCTTGCTTTTCGTGCACAGGTTTCGGGCGGTAGTCCCTCAACTAGGCGAGAGATCGGCGTGAAGATGGAAGCTTACGATAGCGACGTATTATGGATCTTGATCGTGGGCTTCGTGATGGCATTTTCGGCTGCCTTCACGATCGGCGCGAACGACGTGGCCAATTCCTTCGGGACTTCCGTCGGGTCCAAGGTCCTCACCGTCAAGCAGGCCTGCATTCTCGGCGTCATCTGCGAAACGTCGGGGTCCATCCTGCTCGGTGATTCTAAGCGCCCTTGCGTCTTGACGTGCACGAAAAAATGTGGGTATCCATCTCGGTATCATGAAGATGATTTTGTTTTTTAGGCGCCGAGGTGGCAAAGGCGATAGGGTCGGACATCATCAACGAGAACGTCTATAACGGAACCGAGAAGCAGATCATGCTCGGCTCCCTGGCGACTTTAGGCAAGCCTTTCCCATGCGAAGCTCATCCACGTTCGATTCCTAAGTGATTAGTTGTTAATTGTTAATTGTTCGGGGATTCTCTGTGGACAGGGGCATCGGGAATCTGGCAGCTGATAGCGACGTATTTCCGTCTTCCGATCTCGACGACCCACGGGGTCGTTGGGTCCATGATCGGGTTCAACCTCGTCGCCAAAGGTCTTCCGGGTGTCCAGTGGAAGAACGTGACCAGGATCAGTCTGTCCCCATTCCATATTTTTCTGCTCTTACTCGATGCTTTCACCTTACGTTCCCAGTGGAAGGGAAAGCGAAAAATCCTAAAAATGCGAAAAACTTGTGCATGAAACGGGCGTTCTTTCCGTCCGTCCCAGGGGCAAGGTGAAGATCAGGGAGCGGATTTCCACGGTAACATAGATTTTTTTCTGGAGCCTCGTAGGACCACGCAACCCGTTTAGGAGCATGTCTTATTGGTAGAGGAAGCCACTGATGGGATTTTAAACACGCATAAAAACGGGCATTTAAATTTTCCAGGCTTCCCATTTTGTGACGAGCATAGACCAACTATGCCCATCGGGTAGGGGAAGCTTAGCGATGAGAAATCTACTTCGTATTTCCTTTTTCAGATAATTCATTCTCTGTTATAAGGATATTTCCCCCATATTTTCCCATTCCCATTAATATTTCCTGTATACTATGGCATTTTAAGCGCATATTTTTGCATTTCAAGGGCATATTTTCTTGTAACTTCTCATTTTCACGCAAAATTCATGCGCATATTTGAGGACTTAGCCAAAATCATTCCGCTTCCGATTCCATCATGATTCCATCATGATTCCATCATGATTCCATCATGATGCAATTGTTATTACTAGTTACCTGAACAAGACAAGCAACTCTGTAGTGTCTATGGTGCACGGAACCGTATGAGTTCAGGGCCTTAATTTATCACGTTCACATTTAAAAGAGCATAATTTCCGAGAAGGCCCGTTAATCCTCATGGCACCTTCAAATAAAAATGGTGGTTGGTATGTCAAGGTTGCATGATTGGTGGCGAATCCAAGGGGGGGGGGGGGGGACAACCATAGAACCTATGGTCAGGTTCGCATTCAATTATTAAAATTTAAAAAGCACCAAATTATTTATTGGGGCCTGGGAAATGAAGATATCCAGATTTTTTATAGTCCTAATGGGCCAAATAAGTCCAAGATTTATTTTCTTTTGAACGAGAAAAGGTTGACCTAAATCTGACGTTAGTGAATTCCGCAGAGAAGGCGGGAAAGTGAGGTTGAGGTTGAAGATAGGGAAAGCCTTTCAAAAATGGTTTTTCCATTATTATCGAGAGTCTTTGGCGCACTGGACCGTATGAGCCCCGGGTCCCACGTTCACAATAAAAAAGTATGAATTCCAGGAAGGCCCGGTTACTCCATCGTACCCTCGATGAGAATAGCGATTTGCATGTCCATGATTGCATGGAATCGTAGGTAATAGGAATACTGGTGCATGCCCTTCGCAGTTGTGTCCTGGCTGTTGAGCCCGATCGTGGCGGGGACTCTGGCCGCCATCTTGTACCTGTTTGTGAGGACTTTCGTCCTCCATAGTAGTCACCCGTTCAAGAGGGGCCTCCTCTTCCTCCCGTTCATCTATTTCGTCACGACTGCCGCCAACGTCGTCTCTATCTTCACCGACGCCCCCTCATGTACGTGCTTTGTCTTCTGTACCGTATGCTCCCGTAGAAGGCCCGATTGACCGAGACGAGTTTCCCCCCCCCCCCCTTTCCTCTCTCTGCAGTTCTGTATCTGAGCAGCATTCCTTGGTGGGGGATTGCCTTGTGCACTGTCCTCATATCACTCCTTGTCGGCGCCTTAGTTCGTTACGTTCTCATCCCTCGAGTCAAGCGCCAGCTCAAAGGTTTGTGTCGCATGTAATTTTACTAGAAAAGCTTTCCTAGTTTCCCATTCTTGCCGACGTCCATCATGGCGGAAGTGAATGTGACGATGTCGACCTTCAGAGCCAAAAGTTGAAGGCTGCGAATTTTTCCTACCTCGCATTCGTAAATCCGAAGTGGATTTTTTTTAACGAAAAAACTCGTTCGTTGTCCTTCTTCATGCCCTTGTGACCTTTAATTCTGACAGTCACGATTCGCTTTCAGCCCAGAGGTGTCGCGAAAAGGAACGCCTTGCAAACAGTTTTCATTTTTTAACCATTAATGAATAGCAGCATGGCCCCTTTTCGTGATGAAATTATCCATGAAGTAATATTATAAGTTTGCATGAATATATATTTCTTATATGTTTTAAACATTATTATCCATTGCATCCGCAAATATACGTTTACAGCATATACCACTACTTGGAGACACAAAATGCATGGACATAATATCTTGAATGGCTCAAGTTTTCGCGATGACATCGCGTGTGAACTCCCAATCCCTTTTTGTAACACTACTTAAGTCAGTTTCAGTCCATGGCGCCACGAAGAAGGGGCGAATGTAGACTTTCCTCTTGTTTCGTTGAATCCTCTTTTTCCCCCTGAATCTTCTACAATAAACGAACCACTTTCGAGATGCTCCTCACAAGACGTACGAGCATCACGAGTCTGGCACCAAACGGCACCACGAATGAATTCATAATCTTTTAATGCCTATGGTCACCAGAATCGAGCTTTAAAGTTGATACGGGACGCATGCTCCAGCCAGAAGGCATTGCTTTTCCCTTCCAAATTCCCTTAATGATGATATTTTGTTGCAATATTTTTATTCCCGTCGCCGTCAATACGAAGAGAGTCGTATTCGAGGAAAAGCAGTTCATATCACCTCGCTGAGAGCCTATTCTTGTTCGTGCGACCCAAAAAGCTTGAATTCCTATATTCCCATCGAGTCATATTCGTTGCTTCCGCTATACGATTTCCTTCGTTATCATGCATCCTTTTATTGTGGCTTTGATCTATTTAGACCAGTTAGTCCATCCAGAGCGTGGGCAAGAACATATAACCCTCTCAACTTTACGGTTTCATACGTCTGCGACTGTACTTTGGGTCAGTATTGAATTTCTACAAAGTCTTGGCAGCAAGAATCCTTTCGGCGAAGACTCTGTCATAACTAACCGCCAATAATTTGGTTCCACTGGAATGACCCATCCGCGATGAGGTGCTCAATGAGCGGCCATTTTGCCTAGGGAGTTTTCTCTAAAGATGTGCAATGGTGAACTCCTTTTATCTACCATTCTCACAGACACTATGAGAAAATGGCAGATAATGCGATCGGTCTGTCACATTTTTATTAATTTTTTCATTCATGTCTATCGTCAGTTTCCATAGCAACTGGACTACTCAACTCAGTGCGCACGTGCAGCTCTCCGCCTGGGTAGGGGTGCCATTCGATAAAACTTCCAATTCTCTTTCTTTTCTCGCGCATTACGCATCCATAGTCGAAAAAGGGAGAGAGCGACTTTTCGACAAGGGCAATAGAAGGAAATTCTCAAACTCCTAATTAGTACGTTAATCTTACAAATCCGGTATGGAAATACCCAGCAAACAAGGCTGCGTCGGATCAACGTTGTAAAAACGTTCAAAACGTTTATTCAATGTTGATTCAATTTTGATTTAACATTACGTTGCTTAAAATTGTTTGATGGGTTGCTTCTTTTTGCAACTTATGTCGACGAAGCGACTTTAGGGGCCTGCTTGGTGGTAATAATCTCATTATTCCTTTCCTGAGGTTGAAATGATTACGTTTTGAAAGAAAGAAGCAACGGATTTGCACTTTTGGCATTGCAATCTCTCGGAATTCATAAATGTAATAACCCAAAAGGTCGCATTTGCAGATCATTATGCCCAACTGAAGCATGCAAGTTTGTCAAAGCGAGATGCATTATTTTTTATATCTAAACGTGAGGGGTGTTCGAAAAGGGGTCAGGCCAAAACATTCAAACTGCGAAACTATTTGACTGTGAGTGTGTGTGGGTTTCTTTCACTGTTCCTTTTCTTACCATCTGGTTCTTGCTATCCGCAGACGCAAAGACTGATTTGAAAGACGTAAAGGAGGAGGAGAAGGAAAAGGAAGAGAAGGAGAAGGAGAAGGAGAAGGAGAAGGAGAAGGAGAAGGAGAAGGAGAAGGAAAAGGAGAAGGAGAAGGAAAAGGAGAATGGAGTAGATGTGGAGGCTGCCGCCAGGATGGAGCAGACGGACGCGAACACGAGCGTGACGCATAACACCCTAAAAGGAAAAATCAACACCAACTCCTTGACTTGGGTACGAGACCCTATCGGGACCTCAATTTTCTTTCAAGTTCCGTTTCTTACTTCCAGACTTTTTCAAGGACTTCACTCGATACGGGAATTCGCCGTCAATGTGGAAGGTCGCAGGATCCGGCTTTACGATAGCGACAGCGTTGATCGAAACGATTGAAACGTAGTGATTGCATCGCAGCGCGGCTATTATAACGACCAACTTGACCGGCTGGCATCGACAGGCGCCTGGTTTTCATCGCGGAATCCTTGTGCATAGGTCGATTTTGAAGGAAAAAAAAGGCTCTACCGTTTTCAATGGGAGAAACATACTTTCACGAATGCAGCAGAGAAATTAAATAGGATACGCGAACGATATTTGACTGTTACGATGTGTTGAAATGCTTGTCAGATTTTCTTCAGCACCCCTGCACAAGTCGTGCTGTGACCATTTAGAGGTGAATTAAAGGTGCTTAGAGGTGATTAAAGGTGAATTAAAGGTGCTTAGAGGTGGATCATTTCACCTCAAGTGAGGTGATTTCCTGTGCTCGACCGTCTCAGAATTCAATGAATTTTAACTTTTCAAGGGACTGTTGGATCCAGCTGATGCTTGACAGAGATGTTCACGATTCTAAGTTATTTTCACTTCTGCAAGATGGCGCTGTATCCCGATAGAGGGCGCCGTTGTTTTCCGGGCGATCAATGGTGGTTGCCCGGTTACGCTGGATTGAGAGCCACGTGACTTGGAGACTTGAGAAACCATATCCACCTTGCTAGCATGCCCGTGCCTGCGGTGGGACTCACCCGTCAGCATTTCTCCTTCCTCCCCCGAAACATGTTCAGCGTGCTGCCAATTGCTTACTCGATAAATAAACAGTAAACGGTTCCGTCATCGTAATTCCGGAAAACGACCATGTTCGGCGTCACATGCTTCTGAGTGCCTCAAAACGAGACAAGCGAATGTATTTCGAAGTCTAGCCATATTTGATAGTGACGACCGATGCCCCCATTAGGGAAGTGGGATACACAGCTACGCAATGAGAACAAGAGAATCGATCTCGATCGACGTCTTCCAAGGACTGACCGATGGCCTGGGAGCAATTCAAGATGAGCCAGGGAAACCAGAGGAAAGCAAAGAAAAAATCGAGGAGAGACAGCACACAGAGAAACTCTTCTCCTTCGTCCAGATTTTGACTGCCATTTGCTCCTCCTTCTTCCACGGCGCCAACGACGTCAGGTATTTGTCCCTCCTTGCATTATAGGGTCTATTGTTGTTCAGCTTCCATTTTCTTCAAATAAAAATAAGGAATCCTTCATGTAATCGCCCGGATGTCCACGTGTGTGTTTTCCTAGCGAGGTTTCCGTCAACGTTTGTGAAAAATGCTTCTGTTTGAAATTTTCCCAAAAATTCTTGCAAGATACAAGTGTCAGGGATCTTGACCATATATCATATCTTGGTAAACATTTAATTCAATGATTTAAAAAATTACTGGGAAGTAAACGTGAAATGTGCCATATCGCAGCTGCATTGTGTAAAGTTCCCCTTCTCAGAGGAGGACAAGGATCGTCTCTAGGCATCCTCTTCTATTTCCCCCCTGCCCCTCCTCCTCCTCTTATTCCTCATTATTTCACCTGTTTTGTGTTTCTCTGTGCGACCAAAGGAGGCTGGCTATAGGGATGGACTGGGATTTATCTCGCTTGTATTTGTTTAGGCATGTATGTATCTGATGCAAATTGGAAAAGCCGACGTTTTCTTCTGTGCAGTAATGCTGTCGGTCCGATGCTGGGGTTGTGGTTCGTCTACAAGACCGGGAATTCAGCATTGTCGGATCCGCCCATATGGATGTTGGCTTTCGGAGGACTCGGGATGTCGCTTGGACTCGCCGTTTGGGGACGAAGGGTCATTAAGACCGTCGGCCAAGGAATCACTCTAATAACTCCATCCAGGTGATTCCAAACATCCATTCTTCTCCATTTCCGTTTGAAACCCAGAGGGAGGATGCGTCCACACTGATGCTGGGTCACTACCTCCAATAAACTCCTGGACTTAATTTTCCTTTTTTTATCCTCTCATCTAAAATTATGATTGTGTAGTGTATTCGACTAACGCAGAGCTTCCACTGCACTCACTGGTGACGAAATCTGTTTCAACCTGGTAAATTCTCAAAAAACCATACATCTTTGATGTCCGGACAGACATGAATAACTTACCGTCTACCCATCTTTTCACTGGTGAGAAGATGAAGGAAATCCTAAAACTGAGCATCCTGGCTTTAGCGGGTTCACGATGGAGATGGGGGCAGGATTAACGGTGCTGCTAGCGTCCAAGCTCGGTTTCCCCATCAGCACCACGCATTGCCTCGTTGGTGCTGTCGTATGCGTCGGCAAAGTCAAGGATCCCAAGCAGGGAGTGGAATGGGGTCTCTTCCGGTCTGTCCCTCCTTTCTTCCGCTTCCCCCTCGATCCACCGCGATTGTGACGGGCGCGAATTTCATTTCTCGTGCAGGAACATCCTGTTGACGTGGTTGGTCACGCTGCCGGCATGCTCAGGCTTGAGCGCCTTGATCATGTACATCCTCCTCAACGTCGTTCCCTGAATTCACCTTGCTTGCATCATTCCAACTCATCAGCCATTTCAATCTACACTTTGTCGTCGTGCATTGTAATTTTTTTCTTTTAATGAAAGACTACACTCGTAGACGCACTTGTTGGCTTCACACACTTCATTCAGGACCATGATGAAAGAGCAGGGGCCTGTTCCTCGCCTCTAATAATTTTAATATAAATCTAAACTTCTTCAAAACGTAATCTAATCTAAATGAGGTCTTCCACCGTTCGGAATAACCGCATTTTTGTTAGATTAAGTTCAGATATAGATCAAGTTTGGCAGAGGCGAGGAACAGGCCCCAGTATTCATCGATGGATTTCTTAACGAACCTCACTGAGAATGAATAGGACCTGAGGAAGGACTCGCAGATGGATCCTCGGGGGTATAATTTACATGTGCAAGTGGAATACAACATACGCTAAGGTGTCGAAGGCCTTGCCCCTCGCATAAGCCAACTTTCTGGAAGCATATCTATGGAATTTCTGGAAAGATTTTTCGAGAACGTTCTACGATGGGAGGAAATGCCTATATTTGATATAAGCTGTGAACACCCCAAGCCGTCGTAAACATTCTTGAGTTGGGAAAAAATGCCTCGACAACGAAGTTCTACTTCGCTGAAAACGAAGCGGTCAACTATTTTACACTTCTGGAACAATGGACATCGATCTCCTGCCACAATTGCTCGTCTGACGAAGATCCCCCGTTCGGACTGCTAAGTACGAGAACAGGCGCCGTCGTGGCCTACCCTGCAATATCGCCGCCGCCAACGACAAGGCACTCTGCCAGTTGATTCGACGAAAGCATGAGACAAAAGCGAAAGAAATGGCGCAAAAGTTGCGTCGGCACGTGTCCCGATGGAAGGTACAACGCCAGCTGCGACAGATTGTCTACCAGAGTACTTTGCCCCATGCGACGCCAATGTTGACACAGAAGCACAATGATGCGCTCGTCCAGGGGACAATTAGGCACGAGAACGAAGATAAGAGTCGAACAGTATTCACCGACAAAATCTATTTCTGCACGATGAATGGGACAGAATCGACTTGGTTACTCTAGGTCAAGTTGATGAAAGCACGATGTTTTGCTTTGATTGACTCGAAGGGAGAGATGATCAACTGTATTAAATGGGACGTCCAGGCTTTTTTTGATCTGGTGGATTGGGGCTGGACGTTTTGTAAGGGTAGTACTAATAGTGGTTGGAAGATAATATTATTTTCTTCACGTGGGTTTCACATATGTACAGTAAACACACTATGAACTGTATACAATCAGTACTAGTGGACTGTTCTGCTCTCTGCGTTGTTCATGGTGTCTATATCAATAGGGAGGAAGCCGGGAAACGTCACCTGGACAAACCCGATGCTTCTGAATTCACGCCTGAATTCGCCCGACGCTTCTGAATTCTGAGTTAACGCTGGACGGACGACTTTCTTCTTCCTCCTCTGGTAGTAAGGTTGTCATCCTCGCAACCACTGAGGATATGGATCGCCTCTGCAAAGCGGACGAAGTGTGCATCGACGGGACATTCTCAGTTGCTCCTCAACTCTTCGTCCAGATCTCATGAAGGCACACTCTCCATGCCAGTTGTCTTTGCTTTTCTTCCCGACAACCGCATGGACACATATCGCAAATTTGTTCAAACTCTATGGGAAATTTGCTCCAAAGTAGACCTCTCTTTCAGTCCCAAGTTATTTTCTATTGGGCATTGAAAGAACTGTCATCACTACACTACAGCAGATCTTCCCTTCTGCTACGGTCAAAGGTTGCCATTTCCCTTCACCTAGGTAAGCCGAAGAAGCCATGTCGAGACTGATTTCTGGAGATATGAAATATTAATTGCCTTTACTCTTGCAGGTCGTATACAGGAAGGTCCAGGAACTTGGCATTTCGGGACCTTTCATGAAGTTCGAAGAAGTGAAGCTGCGCATCAGAAGAGTTATGGCTCTCGCCCTTTATCTTGTTGGAAAGCATCGCTGACGTCTACCTTTGGATTTGAGAAGAAGCACCATCCTTGTCTGGAGTCCGGGAATTCCATGTCCACGTGGTTGAGACGTGGATTGCGTTGTAAGTTGGACGTTGTAAATCCTCGATTTCATCGCTCCGTTTGGTCCCAATTCGGAAGAAACGGCAGCGGGACAAACAACGCTGTAGAGGCGTGGCATCCCTTAAGGGAACTCCATATTCAGATTTGATGCACGATATCAAATATGGCCATACAGGGGTGCTTAGCTCGTAATGTACATGGTGCAAATAAAAATTATAAATAGGAGAGTATATGTGGAAGCCGTTCAGTTCAATCATGTTTGACCATTCTTAATGTCACAAAAAGTCACAAGGGGCGAGATCGGGCACTTGATCTCGTTACGCGGTGACGTTGGGCGGCCTGCACGTTCACCTGATCTCGCCCCTTGTGACTTTTTTCTTTGGGGCCATCTGAAAGCTGAGGTCTACAAACATCGACCAAGAACCATTAATGAACTGAAGGCTGCTATACGCCAAGAAATTGCAGCGATAACGCCGGAAATGATATCATATTCAAAACCAATTGAAAATAAACTGGATTTCATGCACTTTTAGATTATGTAATAAAATTTTGAATAGCATTTACCATGCCTTTTTTGTTAACCTTTAAAATCTGGGAGGTTTTTTTGCCGCACCCTGTATATGAGCTATATAACAACAATGGTGCTTAGTTGTAGTGTATATGACGCATAAAATGTATATATGAGAACTATATTTGGAAATATTCAGTCCACATCATGTTTTAACCGTATTTAATATATATGGAACTGCATATGATTATTTACTAGGTCCCTTATAGGTTTAGTTTGCAATATAGATATATGCGCTATTTATGGAATATTACACTGTGCCAAATATTGTATATTTAGAAACTGTTCATGCCATTTATATTGGTACGCTACTGCACGTTTCTCTCACTACCGGTATTGAGAATCACAACACACTTGGTCAGGTTTAATACAAGTCAAGATTTATTTGAAAAGGAGCCAGTGCAAAGGGACAGAGCAAAGCATGGTTTCAGCCGTGTCCGGTGTGGGGCATCGAGGGCCGGCGGCGCGCTCCTGTTGATGACAGCAGCAGGGATCACACCAGAAGAGACAATAAGAAAACCAAAGGAATGATCTGTGAGTCACTAAATGCGCAATGTGGGGACCAATGTAATTTGTCAGTACCCAGGTGCTCTACACCTAATCACTTGATGACACTGGAATGTCTAATCCCGAAGGGGATGGTATTATGGGTTGGAGGAGCAGGCTCAAAACCAGTAGGCGATAAGCATCTAATATCCAATTAATAGACGATCATGACTGAGTGACTGAATGACTGACGCTAATTCTTACCATGTTCTAGATACTGTATGATGGAATATGAAGCTTGGTACACAAGTACCTATTGGGATGCTGAGTCCAAACAAATTCCGACTTTGGAGGTAAAAGCCCTGGGGCACACTATTCGGGGGGAAATATTTTCAAATATGTTTTTTGCTTCAATCAAACGGAGAGACATGGAAAGCTAAAACTTGGCATGAGCGTGACTACTAATTGAGTTCAGGAAAAATGTCAAGTTTCCAATACATCCCCTGGGGTCATATTTTTTGGGGTGACGTTTTCTAAGAATTTTTTTTTTCCCTAACGAATTTGGCAGAAATAGAAAGGTGAAACTTGGCACACGCATAACTGACGTGATGTAGAGTACAGAAAAATATATACTTTTGAAATATGTCCCCTTGGGGCAGTTTAGGAGAAGGAAACATTTCAAGACTTATTTTTCGTTTTGAAAAATGGGGAAATATGGAGAGATCTGAAGTTAGGCACACAAGACATCATCGGAGTAATGATTTCAATAAAAATCTTGGTGAGGTCCCTTCATGGCACATATTTTGATATGGACATACTTTAAATAAAGTTTTGCCATTTGGAAAAACGTAATATTTGAAAGCTTAAATTAGGTACACAAATGCTTTTCTCGTTACCAATATTAGGAAGGCTTTTGGTTGTGAGGTTTATCATGAAGGGCTTTTTTTTGCAGAATTTTATACTAAAGACATATTCGCTGCAAGAGGCTTCAAAGGGAAGAAATAGATAAGTGATATTTGGTAATCCAGCAGTTCTTGGGCAACTAACTTTAGGAAAATTTCTACGTTCAGGGTACATCCCCACGTGGACCTTATTTTTTTAAACGCTGGTAAATTTTCGCTCTCACAAAACAGAGGGACGAAAACTGAAACTTAGGCACGTAGTTACCGGTCCAGATGCATATCTGGAAAAGAACTCTTCTTTCGATATGTTCCTATTGTGGGTATACTTTTTGGGGAGACATTTTCCTTGAAATTTTTTTTTTCAGTAAAGAAACAGATACATAAGACTGGAATCCCGTTAAAATTATTTGGAAAATATTATTCCAATGAAATTCCTGCTTTCTTATACCATACTGTATGTCAACGCAACAGAAATTTTATTTACACATCACGTTTCCAAGAAATTTTCACTATAAAACGATTCGAGCAGGTAGAGATAGCTAAAATACTGTACAGAAGTACCGCTCGGTACGACTATTTTAATAAGCTAAAGAACTCCGTTTGTTAGTTTGCCAATGATGTCGCATAACAAGAAGTAACTTGACAGAGCAATAAATATGCTTATGGCCCCCTGAGTTTTACCTAGGCGGGTTCGCTCGTACTACATCCTCCATAGTTCGGCTCACAGAGAGCTCTTCCCCCATATATAGGACAGGCCAAACATGATAGGGACAGAACAGTTTCCAAATATAGTCCGAATAAATTTTTTGCGCATAATTTTTATTTGTGTCTTGTGCATTGCAAACCAAGCACCATACATGGGGCCTATATATCTACCATTTATGATTCCATATTCATTAAGAATGGCCAAAACATGATACGGAATGAAGTGTTTCCAGAGGTAGCTAAATATAGTACAGTACATTCCTATACGTACATATACCTGTATTTGGAAATTCCAAAAGTAGGTCTCAGAAAATATTCCTTGAAACGATACAGCTTTTCTTTTATTGTTAAAAAATTTTCCCAACTACATGAGTAGGCCTACTTAGTTAC